CCAAGTTTATACACCACCGATAATTGAGAACCCACCAAACACTGGCCAACCATCAATTCAACCCAATCCTGCACAACCTTCAGGTCCACAAATCCAACCTACCCAAACATCCATCCTATCATATGCTTACCCTCAAAATGCCCATCCCCAAGAAACTCATATACCTCACACTATACCTACCCTAAACCAACCGATCCACCACCAACCACAAATCACTAATCCTAGCCTGCTGGAAACCCAGCCATATCATCATTCCATTCCCATAAGACATTAGAAGAACCTCAGCCCAATTAATTAGAGGAGCACTTCCAATCCAGAGAAAAATTGCAAATATTGGAAGAAAGATTAAGAGCTATTGAGGGGAGCAGTTATGGCATTAGAGAAGCTGCAGATCTTTGCTTGGTCCCAGATGGGATAGTTCCTCCAAAATTCAAAGTGCCTGATTTTGATAAGTACAAAGGAACGACTTGCCCAAAGAGTCATCTGACCATGTATTGTAGGAATATGGCATCACATGCCCATGATGATAAGTTGCTAATTCACTTTTTCAAGATAGTTTGATTGGAGGAGTTTTAAGTTGCTATGTGCATCTTGAGTGTACTCGTATTCGTAGTTGGAAAGATTTGGCTGATGCTTTCCTAAGGCAATATAAATACAACGTTGATATAGCTCCTGATAGATTACAACTACAGAATATGTTAAAGAGGGAGGATGAGATTTTAAAGAATACGCTCAGAGATGGAGAGAAGTTGCAGCTCAAATGGAGCCCCTTGCAGCTCAAATGGAGCCCCTTTTCTCTGAAAAAGAAATGGTGGCAATGTTTATTGATACTCTTCAATCACCTTTCTATGATAGGATGATTGGAAGTGTTCGTCAAACTTCTCGGATATTGTAATTATCGGAGAAAGGGTAGAAGGAGGAATGAGGAGTGGTAAGATATTTCACAATTCTGGCGGACCCTCCAATTTGAAGAAATTTACAAATGGTCCTGGAAGAAAGAAGGAAGGAGAGACCAATGCTATAGCTTTCCAGCCAAGAGAAATTCCTTTCATCAGACCTAACCCTGCACCTTTTCAGTTCCAACCTACATTTCCTGCCCCTCAAATGTCTTACCCATATGTCAATGCTATCTCACAAAATCCAAGTCCCCAATCTTATCAGCCGCGACCCTACCAACCTACTTCGCCCACTTTTCCCATAGCACCACCTATGAGACCACCCCAACATTGGAATCAAAACCTGAATCCCAACCAAATAAGACCCTAAAACAATCAAGAAAGGAGGCAAGTTCAATTTGACCCAGTCCCTATGTCATACGCTGAGTTACTACCTTGCCTATTCCAAAGTGCATTAGTTGTACCCTGTCCAATGAAACCTGTAGAACCGCCTTATACAAGAGGGTATGACTCAAATGCTAAGTGCAAATATCATGCTGGTGGCATTGGTCATTCGACAGAGAACTGTAGGGCTTTGAAGTTCAAAGTGCAAGACTTAATGAATGCCAAATGGTTGAATTTCAAGGAGGATAATCCTAACATTAGGAGTAATCCCCTACCCGGGCATGGAGGACCGTCGGTAAATGCCATCGAGGAACAGTCTGCATGTGTTTTAAAGAGGAAAGTTAAAGAGGTTACCACTCCTCTTAAGGTCATTTTTGCTGAGTTGTGCAAAACTGACTTGATTAAGGGTTTTGTACATGAAGGAAATATGTGTGATTTGCACCTTGATGCAGACCACTCTATTGAAGATTGTGAAGAATTCAAGCATGTACTACAAACCCTGGTGGACAAGCATGTGGTCCAAATTGGGCACCTAAAAGAAAAAAATGAAGTTTTGACTGTTGGTGGGCAATCCTCAGCTGTTCCAAAACCTTTGGTCATCCATTATACCAAGTGTGTGGATACCCCAAGTAGCAATGGACCTAGACCCATCACTATACAAGTACCGGCTCCATTTCCTTACAAGGACAACAAAGCAGTACCATGGAAGTATGATCCAGAGGTTTATGTCAGCAATTGTAAGGAAAACCAAACCCAATGTGTCAATTTTGATACTCTTTTTGTCTCAAGCATTGCTGGTGTTGGTGGGATGACCCACAATGGTCGTATTTATACACCTGAAGAGCTGAGAAAAGAGCGAGTAAAAGAGATAGAGAGATCCTCAAAGGGAAAAGCCAAATTAGGCGAGTTTGATGAGGAAGCTTGTGAGTTTTTGAAATTTATTCGGCAAAGTGAATATCAAGTTGTGGAACAGTTAAACAGAACTCCAGCAAGGATATCTCTTTTATCCCCGTTACTAAATTCTGAGCCATATAGGAGGACTTTTTTGAAGGTGTTAAATAAGGCTCATGTCAGCCATGATATCACTACTGACAAATTTGGAGGCATTGTTGGTAATATTGTTTCAAACAATTAACTCACCTTCACCGATGATGAAGTACCTGCTGAAGGAATGGGGCACAATAAAGCACTGCATATTTTTGTGAAATGCCAAGATCACATTATTGCAAGAGTGCTTATTGATAATGGGTCTTCTTTGAATGTGATGCCAAAAGTAACATTGTCAAAATTACCTTATGATGGGTCGCATATGAAACCCAGTGCCATGATAGTAAGAGCTTTTGATGGAACAAGGAGAGAGGTCATTGGAGAAATTGAAATCCCAATCCAAATTGGTCCTTGCACTTTTCAAATTTTGTTTCAAGTAATAGATATCGCGTCGGCTTACAGTTGTCTTTTGGGGAGGCCTTGGATTCATTCTGTTGGAGTTGTACCATCCACATTGCATCAGAAATTGAAGTTTATCATCGATAATAAGTTGGTGATTGTGTCTGGTGAAGAAGATGTATTGGTGAGTAAGCCTTCGTCCACTCCTTATATTGAAGCTGCTGAAGAAGCTTTAGAGACCTCTTTTCAGGCTTTAGAGGTTGCAAATGCTACTTATGTTGGAGAAGGAGCCTCAATTGTAAAGCTTTAATTGTCTAATACATCCATAATGACTGCTAAAGTCATGCTTGACGGAGGTTTTCAGTATGGATACGTGTTAGGACAAACCATCATGAAAGCAGCAAACTGGTTATAACTCCATAAGAATAAGGATAGATTTGGGTTGGGATACACGCACACTAAAGCTGATAAGAGGAGAGTCATAGAGGAAAAGAAAGAATGAAGATTAGCCAGGTTGGAAGGTAAGGAGCCTAAGACTGAAGGGGTCCCCATTTGTGATTTTCTGAAAAGCTTCTACAGTGTTGGATTTGAGTTTCAAGACTCAGTGGCTGCTGCTGATGAAGATGTACTTGGAGAAGAGGTTGTGAACCTAGGTCGCACTTGTCCACTGAACATAGAAGTTGGCAATTGGGAGATCATCGAGTTACTTGTGATTTTTAATAGCTATTCAAAGTAATCCTTGAAGTTAATCCTATCGTTTTGTCCCAAAGCTTTAAGGATATCATTACTTTTTGAAAGAATGATATATGATTTCTTTTTGCAATTTAAAATATTAGTTTATTTTGTAAGTTGGGACACATGTTTCCTTTTAAGTATGTTTTTAAATGAAATGCAATTCAAATTCTCAGCAACCTTTTGTGTCTTCTTTCTTCATTGCTTGAATCTTGTTGTTTATTTTCTTTTTGTGTCTCAACTCTCACACAATGCAGATCCGAAAGTGACATGTTTGAAAGTAACAGTGCTAATATCTTATCCACTAATTTTGATTGTCCCATTAATCCAGCTGTCGAAGATGATAGTGATGTTGATTTACCCTCAGAATTTTTAAGATTGGTCGATCAAGAAGTGAAGATGAAAAGAGAGAAATCAAAATAGGCACCCTCATGAAAAAACAAGAGCGCGACAAGTTAATTAAACTCTTGCATGATTATAGTGATGTCTTTGGATGGTCTTATCAAGATATGCCAGGTCTAGATGTTGACATAGTCGAGTAGGGAGGAGGTCAAGTATCAATTCGATGCAGGTTTTCTCGCTATTGCCAAATACCCTTAATGGGTTGCTAACATTGTACCAGTTCCCAAGAAAGATGGAAAGGTTCAGATGTGTGTTGACTATCGGGATCTAAATAGAGCCAGCCCTAAGGATGATTTTCCATTGCCTCACATTGATATGCTAGTAGATAATACAGCTCAACATTCATTTTTCTCTTTTATGGATGGTTACTCGGGTTATAATCAGATCAAAATGGCTGAAGAGGATATGGAGAAGACCACATTCATTACACCTTGGGGCACCTTTTGCTACAAGGTCATGCCTTTCGGTTTGAAAAATGTCGGGGCAATATATCAAAAGGCGATGGTGACCTTATTTCATGATATGATACATAAGGAGGTTGAAGTCTATATGGATGATATGATTGCTAAATCAATGACTGAAGAAGACCATGTTGTAAATTTACACAAATTGTTTGAGCGGTTGAGGAAATTCAAATTGCGGTTGAATCCTGCCAAATGTACCTTTGGGGTGAAATCAGGCAAGTTGTTGGGGTTCATAGTTAGTCAAAAGGGAATAGAGGTTGATCCTAACAAGGGAAAAGCAATCATGGAAATGGAGCCTCCTCGCACTGAAAAGGAGGTTCACGGATTTTTGGGGAGATTGAATTATACTGCCCGATTCATATGCCAACTAACTGCCACTTGTGAACCAATTTTTAAGTTGTTACGGAAAAATCAGCCGATGGAGTGGAATGATGATTGTCAAGAAGCTTTTGAGAAGATAAATCAATATTTGCAAAATCCCCCGATACTAGTGCTACTAGTATCAGGGAGGCCGCTCATTATGTATTTGACAGTGTTAGAAGGATCCATGGGATGTGTTTTAGGTCAACATGATGAATCAGGTCAGAAAGAGCACGCCATTTATTACTTAAGCAAAAAATTCACTGATTATGAAGCTAGATACTCTTTGTTGGAGCGAACCTGTTGTGCCTTGGCTTGGGCAGCTCGCAAGTTAAGGCAATACATGTTGTGTCACACGACTTGGTTGGTGTAAAAAATGGACCCAATCAAATACATTTTTGAAAAATCAGCCCTTACTGGAAGGATTGCTCGTTGGCAGGTCCTATTGTTAGAATATGATATTGTGTATATTACTCAAAAAGCAATCAAAGGCAGTGCTCTTGCAGATTTTCTAGCTCATCAACCGGTGAATGATTATCAGTCAATACAATATGAATTTCCTGATGAAAATATAATGGCCTTGTTTAATGAGAAAGAATCTTCAGCAAAAGATGAATGGGTCAGGATGTTTGATGGTGCTTCTAATGCACTCGGACACAGGATTGGTGCTATACTGAATTCTCCAAAGAAGCAATATATCCCGATCGCAACTATATTATCATTCGATTGTACGAATAATATAGCTGAATATGAAGCATGTGCTATGGGAATTCAAGCAGCTATAGAGTCTAAGATCAAAATTCTCGAAGTGTATGGTGACTCAGCTTTGGTCATGCACCAGCTGAAAGGTGAATGGGAGACTCGCGATGTCAAATTGATCCCTTATCAAGCCTATATCAGAGAGTTGGTGGAGTATTTCGATGAAATTACTTTCTAGCATATTCCTCGTGAGGAGAATCAATTGGCTGATGCTTTAGCCACTTTATCATCAATGTCTGTAGTGAGTCAAAAAGAAGACATGTCGTTCATAAAGATGCAACAGCTTAATCATCCTGCCTATTGTCAAATGGTTGAAGAAGAATCTGATGGTAAACCTTGGTATTATGACATTAAAAATTTCCTAAAACACCAAGAATACATATTAAATGCTGTTGAAAATGACAAAAGGACATTGAGGAGGTTAACAATGAGTTTCTTTCTGAATGGAGATGTGCTCTACAAAAAGAATCATGATATGGTTCTGCTTAGATGTGTGGATGCTTCAGAAGCACAAAAGATCATGGAAGAGATTCATAAAGGTTCATTTGGGACTCATGCCAATGGACATGAAATGGCAAAGAAGATTCTAAGGGCTGGATATTATTGGTTGACAATGGAGGCTGATTGCTTTCGTTATGTGAAGACATATCATAAATGCCAGACATATGTTGACAATATTAATGTTCCCCCAAAAAATTTGAATGTCTTTTCATCGCCCTGACATTTTTCAATGTGGGGAATTGATGTTATTGGACCCATTGAACCTAAAGCCTCTAATGGTCACCACTTCATTCTAGTTGCTATTGACTATTTCACAAAATGGGTTGAGGCTGCTTCATATGCTAGCGTGACCCGAAATGTGGTGGTGAGATTCATTAAAAAGGATTTGATCTGTCGGTATGGCCTCCTAAGCAAGTTGATAACAAACAATGACACTAATTTGAACAACAAAATGATGAAAGAATTGTGTGACAATTTCAAGATTCGACATCATAATTCCTCTCCTTATTGCCTAAAGATGAATGGAGCAGTTGAAGCGGCCAATAAAAATATTAAGAAGATCATCCAAAAGATGGTAGTGACATACAGAGATTGGCATGAAATGTTGCCATTTGCCTTGCATGGATACCGAACTTCAGTTCGTACTTCAACTGGGGCAACTCCATATTCTTTAGTATATGGAATGGAAGCAGTACTTCCTATTGAAGTCGAAATTCCCTCTTTAAGAGTAATAATAGAGACCAAATTGGAGGAAGCAGAATGGGTACAATCTCATTTTGATCAATTGAATCTCATTGAAGGAAAAAGGTTGAATGCGTTATGTCACAGTCAACTATACCAGAGAAGGATGAAGAAGGCTTTTGATAAAAAGGTTCGTCCAAAAGAATTCAGTGAGGGAGATATGGTGCTCAAAAAGATTTTACCAACGCATAAAGATTATTGTGGCAAGTGGTCCCCGAATTATGAAGGACCATATGTGGTGAAAAAGGCTTTCTCAGGAGGAGCTCTAATCCTCACAAACATGGATGGACAAGATCTTCCAAACCCCGTCAATTCTGATGCTGTAAAAACAAAATACTATGCTTAAAAAATAATAATTAAAAAAAAGAAATAAAAAAAAGAGAAAAAGAAGAAAAGAAAACAGCTCGCTAGGTTGAAAACCTGAAAGGGTGACCTAGGCAAAAGTTAGAGCGACCTGGTGAGTTGAAAACTTGAAAGAGCGGCTCAGGCAAAAATTAAGGACAAATAAATACTACACTGAATTGAAAACCTGAAAGGGCAGTTCAGAAGGGTACTGACTTCAGTTGCAAGAAAGCGGTTCAAGTTGGTAAATATGATGGACTGGAATACTAAACTGGGACAATTTTGAGAGGTAGAAGTTAAATCAAATGGAAGATGAATTCAAAATACCATATTGGGTCAATTTTATTTGGCAATTTTGTTAATAGATGATTAACTTACATGGGAGATTAGTACTGTTCAGTTGGAAGACGTCACTTAATCGGCATAATATTTCGTTATTCTTGTAGTCATTCTGATCTTTTGTTTGATGTATTTGTTTTTCTATTATGTTGTAAGTCTTCTTTGTAAATTCACCATTTCTCTATTACAGTCATCTTATGTTTCAAAAATATTTGTCTTTGACTTTTGTCACCTTCCATTCAGCTTATATACGCCACTTTGTTTACTCAACTTCTTCAACAACATTAACCAACATTTTATTGTCATTTCAATAATTATATACTAAAAGGAAACATGCAAATTGTTAAAAGGGTAATAAGAAAATACGATTACAATAATAAGCTTAAAAAATTCACACAATAAGTTTGATGAATCTCCTGATTAGTTTAGCGTGACAGAAGAAGTTGTCTCCTTATGACAATTCAAAAATAAATGGCAATCCAATTCGGTTCATGGCTCACCCAGTTCAGATCTCATGAAAGAATTGATCCTGATCGAAGAGCTTACTCATTCATGAACCTTGAGGTGCATGTTCTGATAAGGTTGGAAAATTAGAATCCCAAAAAAAAAGAAAAAAAGAAAAAGAGAGAGTTTGTTTTGATTTAATGTCTCATCATATCATTTGACTTCATCATGCAATAACTTCATTTCAAATGTTAACATTCATCCAGTTTGTGCAATCACATCATTACATTAGCATGTATTTATTTTTATCCATTGTCACCTTTTGAAGTTTAATTTAAATCCATTATCTGCCTCACAACCTTTATGTTCAGTCCAAGTCCAAGTCCAAGTCCAGGATTTGACTTGGTACTTTACCTTTCAACAAAATTCAGAAGATGATTGATCTCTTTATTTTTCTGTCTTACTTTTGCTGTTAAAGTTCAGAGTCTGATTGTCCTTTTATTTTCTTTTGCAATCCAGAACATGATCAACCTTTTATTTTTCTATCTTTCTTTTTACCTTTCTTGTCCAAGTCCCTTTATGTCTTTGTCAAAGCCTAAAACTTAACCGTATCTTTCGCATTTTCTCAAAGCCCAGCACTTAACTGGCACATTTTATTTTTCTGTCAAAGCCCAGAATCTGACTGGCACTTTTCCCTTCTCTGTTGAAGCCCAGAACCTAGCTGGTACCATTTTACTGTTATGTCAAAGTCCAGAACCTGACTGACACATTTTATTTTTTCAGTCAAAGCCAAGCACCAAACTGGCACATTTCTCTTCTATGTCAAAGTTCAAAATCGAACTGACACATTTTATTTTTCTGTCAAAGCCTAAAACCTACCTGACACATTTTACTTTTCTGTCAAAGCTCCGAACCTACCTGGCACAATTCACTTTTCTGTTAAAACCCAGAATCAAATTGACACATTTTATTTTTCATCAAAACCCAGTACTTGACTGACACATTTTCCTTTTCTTTTAAAGCCCGGGATCTCACTAGCACTTTTTACCTTTCAATTAAAACCCAGAACTTGACTGACACTCTTCACCTTTTTATCCTATTGTTTAAGCCCAGTATCTGTCTGGTATCCTTTGTTTTTAGTCGAGACTCCATGTCGCTTCACAATTTTGTTCAACACAAATCATCATAAATTACGACTTTCTCTAACAGCTGAGTATTCACTATATTTGTCTTTGTATTCCTTATACACCTGGTTCGTTTCAGACAAAAATTGATTCACTTCTTTACTCATTTCTCATCAACTCTAACTTCAAAATATCTCTGATTGATAGGAACTGAATAAAGAGGGGCAACTGTGAATACCAATTTTTTCCTCTCCTGGATTACCTCCAAATTTTTAAAAAAATAAAAATGAAATAATAAAATTGTTTTACAAAAAATGGAAAATTTTTGAAAAAAGGGATTTTGCTTCCCAGAAACAGCAGCCTGCACTTCACAGGCCTATACTCCAATATCAAAAATCAGTCTTGAGCATGAAAAAGGAAAACTCAGAACTTTGATATTTTGTAAAAGAAAAACCCTAAAATGTGAGATTGAAGGGGGTATAAAAACTCAAGTAAGGGATCTAAAAGGGGGTTGTTTTTTTCGGAGAAAAAAAAATCAGTAGAAAGAAAAGATCGAGTTTTCAAATATTTGAAGAGAGAGATAACAAGTCTCTCTAAGAGATCTGAGAGGGAGGTTCGGTGAAAGAAAGCAAATTTTTTTTTAAAGATAGAACAAGTTTCCAGGGAATAAAAAAATAAAGAGCATCTTTTTAGAAAAAATTCTGAGAGAGTTTTTAGAAAGGAAAATTTTTTAGGAACAACAGATTTATCTAAAAGTTTTTCATTGAGAGATCAAAAATGGAAAAGAAAAAAGATCTTAAGAAAAAAATATAGAAAGGAAGGAGAACACTGAAGGAGAAGAAGAGCTCAAAAGGAAGATATTACCGAAGGAAGAAGAAGAAAAAAGCTCAATCACTCTATCTTTTTGTTTGAATCTTGAACGTTGCATTCTCGGTATGTTTTTCTTCACATGCTCTACTCACGTAACATAGATAGCATGGTGTGTGGCTAAATAATGAAAGATTAGGTTACAGGCTTCCTGATATAAAGTTCTGTCCTTTTTTTATATATTTTAATATCTTGTTAATATATGGCATTTGATAAACATAATTGAAACCATTCTTACAGACTCCTCGAAATTAAGCTCTATTCTTTTTTTAACATTTTAATATTTTAACAATATATTCCATTTGATTTGAAAGGAGCCATAATGTCCCTCAACGTTTTGTAGCACGGTTACTATGGCAACACTTTTCCAAATCTTAGTTTCCACACTTCTTTAAATTATTATTATTCTGATTATTTTTTTTCTTTTTTTTTTACTTTTCAGGCTTAGGTAGCCCATTGTTTAAACGAAAAGATAGTTTAAGTTTTGAATTTTTAGTTTAAAAAAAATATAAAATAATGAATATTTACTTATTTATTTCTTTTTTCCAATTTTTACCCATTTATTTATTTATCTACTTTTAAATTATAAAATCACCTCATTTTTTATTTTTCTCTTTATCTTTAAATATTTTGTTGTATTCTATTTTAAATTATGATGTTAACATCTATTTTTATTATTATGTTATATTTGCTTCCAATTTTTAATTACATATTTACCCTTTCTCACTAAAAGTAATAGGAGACAAATAAAATAAGAAATTTTTTTGTAATAATTATTGATTTTTTTTGCTTATGTCTAATGAATAATTTATTCTTCGGT